GTCCAGATGGAAGTCACGTGCGGCTGCTGAGCCTGTTGCCATCAGCTGCCGCACATGGAGTTTCAGTTTGGTCAAGGAAGTGCTCTCATCAACTGGTAATATGGGGGCTCCAACTCCTCCAAGTGATAATCGTTTGCTGCTCTTGGGCCTTTAGCTGCCAATCATTGTTGGCACATGAAGCTACAGTTTCCTCTGGAGATGCTTATTGGTGCCAACCAGTTACTCAAAGCAGTCCAACTACTCCATTTAATTGGCTATTGACAAGTAGTTCAGACTGCACAAGATGGTAGTCACATGTTGCTCTAGAGTCGTTGCTGTTGGCTCACATCACTTAAAAGTCCAAGGTAATCTGGGCAGTCTTGCATCAAATTGGTGACACATTGGGCTCGGCTGCTCTAGGTGGTGTCTTCACCATGCTCTTGAGTCTGTTGCAGTGTGGCGATGAAACATGGGAGTTCAGGTTGTTGCAAAGTGTGTTGCTGTCAACTGGTGACATGTGGACCAAAGCTTCTCCACGTTCACCTGTTGCCCTCACGCACCTTGCAGTTGACTGGTAAAACATGGGAGGAGGTGTTATATGAGGGTTTGCTGGCTTGCTGCCAAAAAGTGTAATGCAATCGACTGTTGACATGTGATTGAGAGTTCAGGTTGTTCTCCAGCATTGACAGGTGATGCATGCACCTTGCACATACAGGCATGTCCTTTGGACAGCAAGGTGACCTGGAATAACTTTGATAACTACATGTTTATTATTAGCAGTGCTTTTTCAGAGCTGCTGTGAATTTATCTCGAGAAGAAAAATGAATATGTGCTCTGGGGCCTTGCAGTTTAAAACAGGGCCTGCCAGCGTTTGAACTTAAATTATTCATTTCAAGGTCACACAAGGATGATCTTGAAGCAGTGATAGGTGTGCCGTGTTTTTACGTTGATTTGCTTCATCTCCGTAGTTGGTCTTTTCTTTCAGCTAGATTCACACATCTGAAAACACCATGGGCACCTGTATTGCCAGATGTGGTATCACATATGGAATACAAGAACTGTGACACATAGTGTATGTTGTTTTTTCAGAGGTCTGTTGCAGAGACTTCACTGCTTTGCAGTGAATGTTTTCACTTATGTACGAGACATCTGAGGCTGGGTTGGATGCGTGCACTTATCACCCATAGGCAGTCTTTTCCTTTCCCTGTTGATACTATGACTGTGAACCCTGATGCGGTCCTCAGCCTGGACCTTGGTGATTTGGATTGTGAGGTAGTCATCCTATTTACTGATGGATGAAGTTCACTCTCTGTTCTTCACTCCATCTGCCCCCTTAACTGTGATGTACTTCAGTCCAGCTGCCTCATCCCATCATCTACAATGTTATATTGTCACTTTCTTTTGGCTTTACGGATACTTTAGTCGAGCTGCTTTCAATGGGATCCAGTGCTGCCCACCACCAAGAAGAAGTATTTGAATGTATGCGGTTTGAAATTCTCGTCATAAAGCAAGGGTGTTCCCTTTGAACATATCATGGTCCCACCTTCCACTGAGGATTCAGTGTAGCTGGACCTGTGATACTTTGGGCTTGGGGGTAAATGGAAGTGGGAACTTCCAACCCCAAAGGCTTGATCCCGCTCTCTTCCAGAGCAAACAGGGCATTATTGCTTGAGCTATCCATATTTTCTTTTAAACTAACAACAAACATACCATTTGTGTGTTGTAGTTTTAATCAGATGATGTCATACCCCTGTTTGGGGGAAAACAGCTTTGTGCAGCTGCTTGTCATACCCCTGTTTGGGGGAATACAGCTTTGTGCAGCTGCTTGTCATACCCCTGTTTGGGGGAATACAGCTTTGTGCAGCTGCTTGTCATACCCCTGTTTGGGGGAAAACAGCTTTGTGCAGCTGCTTGTCATACCCCTGTTTGGGGGAATACAGCTTAGTGCAACTGCTTGTCATACCCCTGTTTGGGGGAATACAGCTTAGTGCAACTGCTTCAGGAGCACAAAGCTAATGTGCTTGGTAGTCATCTTTGCCCTCAGATGAAGCACCCATTTATATTCATGAATGGAGCTGGAGGGATTACATGTTGGGGTAAAGTGACTTGCCCAAGGCCACAACGTGTAACCAGTGTTGGATTTGAACCCCTGACCCTATGATCGGGAGTTACAAACCCTACATGTAGGTCACACATGCCCCCTCGTATACGCTCGCATCGCCTCTCGACTGGAGGCTGAGCGACTGGGTGCTCCTCCGTCCTTGTTGGTACTGCTTGTAGTTTTCTGGTTTATTGGCCAAAAAATACTTACATACGTGTTCACGACACCTTCACTCTGTCATGGTCCAGGTGAGTTGCAGACAACCTTTGGAATGAAAAAAAAGTTTTAACTTATAAGGGAAGCTGATCTTTATTTCATATGCTTCCTCTATGCAACCTTTGAGGTTAAATCGAAAGATTTGCCCCTTTCACAGAAAAAGTAATGCCCAGACTCAACCTTCAGTTCCAAAGTTCATTTGCAATAGTGAACACAGGACGGATTTCCCCTATAACCTCCTGGTCATTAAGGTGTGGCAAAAATGTAAGAACAAATACAAGATTGCCTTCTGAGGACAATGCAGAGTTGTAGTATAGAGTACTTGACAGTCCTACCAGAAGCATTTTCTTGAACTTCTCACTCGGGTCATGCTCTGTAATCTGTGTAAAAGAGAAAGGGGGAGGGGAAGTTAATGAATTATGATAATAATTATGCATTGAATTTGTGATGTGTATATGAAAAAAAAATCAGTTACACGTTACCTCAAAATTGTGATGAAAAGCAAATTGGAAACAGTCTGAACAAACTGAAACCTATAACAAAAGATACTTTACCAAGACGTCCTTGATCTCCTCAATGAGTATATTCTCATTATCTTCTGTGCACTGCGTACAAGAAAATTGAAGATAGATTACAGCATACATGTTTGCTGCATTTTCAGTTTGTGTTGTGCATTCTTGAGGGCTTCGCGAGGGCATTCACTGATTTTCATTGTGCAGAATTGTGTCAATCTCACATCAGGAACCAAACAACATGTACATGAAACTGTAATTTTTCCACTTTAATTTTTCCACAGCACTTTTCCCCTGAATTATTCAGAAACACCAGATTCATAATCCAACAAGCCCAAAGATGCTGGCGCAAATGAGTTGAATCAAACAACTTCATCAAGAAGAAAAGAAACAAACAAAATTTAAATAAACAAAAACTATGTCCCAATAAAAGATCTAATTGTACACATGGGACATTTTCCCCATCAAATTGTCAGGTATACTCCATGGAACAGCATCACACACTGTTGTAAGAGCAAATTCAAGGTGTCCATGTACCTGCACTTGAATATCTGGAGGAGGATCCACAGCCTCATGTGGGTTGAGGTAAGGAGTATTTGACACTTCTCCATTTTGGGCCACTTTCTGAAGTATTTTCCTCAACCTCTCATAGGGATCGTTTAATGTGATCTGTGTATAGGAGAAGGGGAGATGAATGATAAAATGATAAGGTGCTGATCTATACTAGTATTTCAAAAATAGGTGCACATTGTCTCCAACTGCTGACAAACAATACCCTGAAACAATAAAAAACAATAAATCTTTGTTAGTTACAACAAAGGCTTTCTGACAGTTTTACCAAGATTTCCTTGATCTCCTCAACTGGCGGGTTGACGTTATCTTCTGTGCACTGTGTGAAAGAAGAGCAGATGTTAATATTCTTGTGGAGTACATTTTTAATTGTTGAGTTGCGTCATTGAGGACAGGTATAGCAAGATTATGTGCAGAAAAATGTGAAAACGCCTAGTGGGCAACATGGACATGTATCTTACTGGGTTCTGATAAGCATCCAAGTCAATGTTGCTAGTTACCTGCTACTGAGGCACTGTGGGATAGCCTGAAAGATACTGTTCTTTGGGTATAAGAAGGTAACATTTATTTGTCATAACTACCGGTATGTCTCAAATACAAGTCAGTTCGACTCCTTACAAGGACTGTTGAAATTATCTAAAAATACATGTACTAACAAAGTCCACCACACAACAAAATTGCCTTTGCATGTACATTCATATACACAGCATGGATGTTGCGTGGTGAGCAGTGGTGTTTGCCCCCTCCCCTTGGAAAAAACAGGGGCAGAGAAAGGGAAACGAGAAAAACTTGGTTGAAAGTGCTTCCGACTGTTCAATTGTTAATCTGTTTGCCAGGGATGAGTGCTAATTTGCCCCCCCTTCTCTTCTCCCCCCCCCCTCAAAAAAAGCCCTCCTGCCCCCTTGAAGAAAACCCTGGTGACAACCATTGTACTCAGTATACCGGTACCTGCACAGTTGGTCTCCTGCTCTCACTGTCTCCAGTCAGACGGCAGTCAAAGTTTGCCATTGCTGTGGAAAAATTCCAGAAAAAAACAACACTTGTTTGAATTTTGTCAGTGTTTACGCTTTATGTGGCTCAACCAAGGTCAAGTTTTGTGAATTGCTTGTGAATAATGAAGAATGTACCATCTGAGCTCCTGCACAGTGAAGTATATTCCAAGAGTTTCCAAACATTAATGTACATGTAAACACCAAGAGAGTGCCCAGACAGATTGAAAGACCTTAAATACAGGTACTGTGTAGGAACCGAATTTCCCGCCGTCGTCCAGTCATGTGACGTCATGGTTCAACAGGAATCTAAGTCTGGTGTTACAAATACATGTAGATGTGTGTGTGACCGAAATAGAATACAACATAACTGTCACCGCAACAGCTGTACTAACTGCAGCAAGTCTTTGTCTTTATTTTCTGGAGTTTTGAATAGTAAATTTAAAATATGTAATACCTTTCTAGTGTATTTCATTTTCAGCTTGAGTGAAAGAGCCTTTATGTACA